CACTAGTGTAATAAAGACTGGAATAGACATTAATCAAATAGAAAACAAGTAAGAAATCAGAAAAGCTAATTATTTGAAGACTAATGAAAATCAAATATCTAATCAAACTAATGAAGAAAGAAGATTCATTCTCAATTTGCAAGGGTCTGTAAGGTTCTCCTAAGAAGCTTCATACATGGTGCTGATACATTCAACTTTCCCTGATCTAAATCAGGCAACTAATGACCACCTCCTCAAGAAACAAATCTTAAAAAATGAAACTGGAAACAAAGTGATGCAAGATGACAGTGGAATGGAATGACATCAAATGCTGAAGAAAAACAAAACTTGTCAAAGTAGAATGTGAAAGTCAGTAAAAACATCCCTCAAAAATGGAAACAATATCTAGGTCTTTGATCCATTTTTATTTTATGTTCATACAAGGTAGGAGATATGGTTTAATTTTATACTTCTGCATGTGGATCACCTGTTTCCTCAACACCATTTGTTAAAAAGGCTCTTTTTCCTCCAGCATGTTCGTAGTGCCTTTATTTTTAGCTCCTTTGACTAGCGGTTAAAGCCGGTTGGGTTTGTTTTTATATTTTCCATTGTACTCCACTGGTCTACATGTGTATTTATGCCAGTCCCATGCTATTTTGTTTTGTTTGGTTTTTGGTACCAGGGATTGAACTCACGACCTCATGCTTGCCAGGCAGGTGCTTATACCACTAAGCTGAATCCCCAGCCTTGGCCATGCCATTTTTATCACTATAGCTTTAAAGTATAACTTAAAATCCAGGATTGTAATGCTTCATACTTTGTTCTTTTTATTCAGGATTGATTTGGGATTCTGAGCCTATTCTAGTCCCATATAAAATTTAGGATTGTTTCTTCTAGTTCTGTGAAATATTTTGCTGGTATTTTGATACAAATTACATTAAAGCTATATATCATCTTTTGTAATATGGCTATTTTGACAATATTGAGCCTCTTTATCCAGGGTCATTCCATTTTCTTTAATTTTTTCATCTTTTATCTTTTTGAGACAGGGTTACACTTAGCAACAACCTAAAGACAGAGATTTTTATTTTAGTTCTTGGCTTTAATTCATAATTGTCTGATTGCAAGGCAGAAAGGCATGCTGGGAGATGCTCATACTATGGCCACCAGGAAGCTGATAGTGGAGGCGCCCTAGTGGGAATAGAGAGATGAAGAAAAGTGGAAGTCCTCTAAATGTAAAAATTTTCAGTACTCTTGAAACACAGATGTCCATGAAATATCAGTTCTCCCCATATGGATCCATGGAGTCAGTGTAATCACAGTGAAAAATCTCAGCAAGTTTTACTAATATGAAGTATGAGGCTCTTATTCTAAGACTGTACGTGGAAGTATAATATACCAAGGACAGTCAGAGCAGTATCGAAGAAGATGAAGACAGCTTCTACTTCTAGATGTTGAGTCCCATGAGGTTATGATAATTATGTGGTAACAGTGAAAGGATAAAAATGGTAGAGGATTCAGAGCCAAGCAGTCACCCAGTACATAGTGACCTGATTTCCCACAAAAACACCACTCTAACTTAGTAGAGAAAGGGTGGGGTTTACAGTAACAGCGCAGGACATCTTAGAAGAAAAAGAACCTTAATCCCTACATTACATCTACCTCAAAATCAATCTGAGATGGTTCATAAATCCAGATATGGAAGGAAAAATAATAATGTATCTAGAAGAAAGCACAAGAGATTACCTTCATGATCGCAGACTACGTAGAGTCCTTAAACAGGGCACACATTTTATGTGAAATACTTCTCAATTGGACTTTATTAAAATTAAGACCTTTTAGTCATCAAAATATACCATCAAAACAATGGAAAGGTGAGCCACACACTGCAATAAATGTTCAACGAGATATCTGAATCCATAGTACGTAAAGAACTCCTACAAATGAAAACATGACCACTCAATTAAAAGAATGGGCAAAAAGCTTTGAGTGGATATAAATGAGCAGTATGTAAATGGTCAATAAGCATATGAAAATATGCTCAGCATCATTATTCATCAAAGAGATAAAGCTCGAAGACTACTAGGAGATATCACTAGACAGCCAGCAACAGTATTAAGCTTATGAGAAAAGATAATACCAAGTTTATTGGCAAGCACGTAAAGGACCAAATTCTAAGTTATTGTGAGTGGAATTGTCAGTTGGTGTAAGTATCTTGGAAAATTGTGGGTGGGGAGCTACCAAGATCTGCAGCAAGTATATCCCAGGACTTGGCAGTTCTGCTGTGGGCCAGACAGCCAGCAGAAATGAACTATGGGCTGAATTTTAGTACCCTTGAATGCCCAGTTTGTGTGGTGAAGTCCTAATGTGATGGTGCTAGGTTAGCAGGTGGGGCCTTTGAAAGGCAGTTAACTCAGGGACCAGAACGCTCTTGGGCAGGTTAGTGGCCTTGTTAATAGACCCCAAAGAGCACTTTCCATCCAAGAAGACAGTAGCTTCTGTGTGCAAGAATGTCTGAAACAGACCCTGGCCATTCGAGCACCTTGAGATCTGTGAGAAATAAATGCATCTAATTTACCAGCCACCTATTTCATGGCGCTTGGTTACAGCCTCCTGAATGGATTAAGGTTGTTCAGCAAAACACGTTTATAAGAATGATCATGACAACTCTTTTTACAGTAGTTTCTAGGGCAGGAACAGCTCAAAAGACCATCAACATTAGAATTAGTAATTCCAGTGCATGGCAACACTCTATGGTAATGAAACAAAGAACTATTGCTATGTGCCTGGGCAAGGATAAATCTGATAAACATAATTTTGACTGAGAAAAGATAGACATAAGCCAGTATGTACCACAGGAATCAATCTGTATGAAATTTAAAGTCAAGTGTAAGCGATCTATGCTGAAGAAGTAGTTACTCATGTCGGGGAAATGGATTGGATGGAGTCTTCTATGTGCTGGAATGTTCCACATATGTGTCTTGTTCATGGGTACATTTCATGAGTGAATAGATATACACAATTTCATCAGTCTATCTATGTAAATTGTGTACTTATTGAATAACAATTGTATTTCCATGAAAATTAATGATATGTTAAAAAGATAAAGCGTTCCTCAGGGAAAACTGTGAGATGGAAGGGAATTTGCCCTGTGAGATATCAAAACTTAAAAAGCTCTAATGATTAAGATTATGGTGTTGTCAGACAATCTGATCCAAAGAGACAGGATAAATAGAGCAGGAATTAATTCCCATATATGGAATTATGGAAATATGACTTCAGATTCTTAGGGAAGAATTAATTCTTCAGAAATGGTGCTGGGGTGGCTGGTGCCTGTATTTTAAAAGAGTGATTTTTATCTGCCATCACACAAAAAAGTAAATTCTTGACTACCGTACAAAAGGAAAAAACTATGACATTCTTAGATATAGGAAAATTTAAAATATAGGAAAATACTTATTGACCAGAAACTGTGGAATATTTATTAAATGAGGAATCAAAAGCTCTACTCATAAGATAGACAACATGACTACTTTGAAATTTAAAACTTCTGTTTCTTAAAAGATATCAGAGAGAAAAAGAAGAGCTAACCCACAAACAAGAAAAGGTATCTGCAACACATATGACAAAAAGATCTATTATATAGAATATAATAATAATTCTTTAAAAGAAAAAGTAAGATAGCCCAGTAGAAAAAGTAGAGGAAGATGGTAATCATTTTGCAGATGAGGTAACTAATGGATAAACATGAAGAATTATAAACCTCATAAGGAATTGGGGAAATACAAATTAAGATCACAATAAGATATAATTTACACCAGAAGCTGGGTAAAAATGTCTAGTCTGTAAGTACTATATGTTGGCAAGGGTATCAAAGCTACTGCTGGAGGTATAAACCACTTGGGAAAACAGTTAGGCTGTGTTGTACCTATGTGAACAGTTTCACCCTGTAGCCCAGCAGTTTTATGCATCAGTCAGTATACACTTAAAATTCTTGCATACATGTATTAGAAGAACTTTCTAAAAATGTCCATAAACTGGCTGTGGTGGCACACACCTATAATCCCAGGACTCAGGAGGGTGCTGTGAGTTCAAGGCCAGCCTGGGCTACAAAAGTGAGTCCAAGGTCCATCTGCACTACATAGAGAGACCTTGTCTCAAAAAAAATTCCATAAAAGAACTGCACATATGAATAACAACCAGAAAATTCAAATGGTCATTCGGAGAAGAAGGGATAAAAATAAATTATGATATATTCACACAATGATCTAACACAATAGTGAAAATAAACCAAAATTACATGAAAAATGCACACATCTTGGAAAATAGCAAGTTTCAGAAAAAGATATGCCACATTATAACAATCTTATAGTGTTGACAAATATGCAAAACTAAATGCTTTAGTATTTATCAATATACCCAAATCTAATAAAAATATTTAGAAAGTAAGAGAATTAGAAATCCAAGGACATTCCCCTAAGAATTCTTGCTCCCCCTTTCTCCCTCGGGATCTGCTTCATGGACACGGCAGTGCTTTCTCAGTTTGTTTTTAAGGCGAGTACACACTTCCTCTTGATAGACCCTCAGTAACCACCAGCGGATCCTGGCAGCTGCTGGGAGCTGTGGAGGTGGGGCAGGCAGAGCCGCTCTCAGCAGAGCCTTCCTTTTGTAGTCCAACTGCAGAAGTCAGAGCCCCAGCTGCTTTGCTGCCTTCCTGCATACGGTGCAGCATTTGTCAATATTAAATTTAATTTGCGCTAAGAGCCGGTCACTAAGAGTGAAAACACAAGCTTGCTGAACTTTACTCCACCTGTGTGTTCAGTAGAGCCAGCATTAGCAAAGCCAATAAATTCAGCAACAGTATCCTGCCCAAATCTAGGTCAGCTCCATTGATTAAAAATGTTACAGGTTTAGGTACTGACCCTATTAAAATAAAACCCCCTTCGAATTTAACTATATCACAACCTATTGAATCTCCTGGACTCTTTCAATACCCAAGCACCAGGTCAACATTAAAGAGGTTATGATCAACAACAGACATTTATTGAGTGCCTATTGTATGCAAGGCACTGTACTAGGTGTGGGGCTACAAAGACAAAAGAGAAACAGTCCTTACCCTCATGGAGCTTACAATCTAGTCTAATAGGACACATATATAAGAAGACAAAAGACAGTACAAGGTAGTATATAATATTAGGGCACCGAATAGAAACAAACAGGATTTGTCTTTTATTTACTTATGTATTTTGCACTGGCTTTTCAATACCCTGAGTAGGTGGGGGGTGGTGGTGAGTGGGCTAGAATAGAGATAACAATCTGTTTGGTTTTCGTCCTAGGACTCTCTTACCTCTTTCTATTCCCATTATCTCCTACTCTGTGCTGAGTGGTTCACTCCTCCCCGCCTCCCCCACACCCTGCTTCTGATTTTAGCCTCTCAGAGGGCAGCCCACATCCTGGTTTCCCCAGGACTGCCCTGGCTTTAGCATAGAAAATCTGCACCATGGAACTCCCTTCTCTTTGCTCTTTCCCAGCCCCGTCCCCACCAGGAGGGCGCTCCTGAAGGAGCTCATCCTGCAGCCACAATGGACTCTTTCCACCTTCTCAGGTCGTCACTGCGGCAGGCTCTGCTCCAAACCTGTCCCCAGGCAGGGCTCTAGTTTTAAAACATGAGGAAGACCCTGGCAGCCCCAAAGGCGGCTGGTTTGAGATCACACCAACACATAGGAACAAAGTCAGGAGAGAATGATGTCAAAGAGACAGAGCGCTGCTTAAGAGGAAAACTTGAAGATGAAAGAAATGATTGGGTCAGGTAGGAGCCATGCAGAGATAGAAGAGGACGGTGGATCTTCTCTAGGAGGAGGTTGATTTCAGAACTGTAATCATCTCCCCTGTGGAGTCCGGGCATTTTCTGGAATAAGGTCACTCTCACACATGGAAAAATACTAGGGCATGTGCATTTAAATGGCACTGTCTTAAACCTAACTAAGGTTCAAATTTCTCCTTCCACTTTTGTTTAGCATCCATTTAGCTTCTAAATCATCATTTTAGTCTTGGAGGGGGAGTGTTTGTCTCAAAAACAAGACCATTCCTCTCCATTCTAAAGTAATTTAGAAAGATCATTAATGGAGAAAACGTTTGGAAAACAAAGGTCATCTGATAAGAGGCGTCATTTGGAATTCCAAGAGGCTGCACAGATTTCTCTTTTAGGTATGCTACTTTGTGCTTCATATTAAGTTGTTAAAAGGAAACACTGAACTTTAAAAGCCTAGGACCTTGGAGCTCCCAAACTGCGCCAGTTTAACGTCTAGCCCTCAGGAGTGCATTCCAGGGTTAGCGAAGCACAGGGACTTAAGTTGCCGAACACCCATTAACGGTAATGGAAATCACACAGAAAGTCCCCACGCAGTGCGCTGAATATTTACCTCCTAATGTTCTTTAAATGTACGCTTTCTTGGGTGAATATTTACTGTAGAATATTAAATGTGAGATTCCTCTTTTTATGGGCCATTTGAAGTGATTGATTTTGTTTGTGAATTCCTGTAACTTTGCCCGTAATGGCTATCTACTGTAATGGCCCCTGCCAAATGTTCTTGCATTGAAATAACAGAAGCCAGGGGTCGGCCAGCTGTGGCATTGGATTTCTGGGGTCTTAAAATCTAGGAAGAAGCTGATGACACAGCTAGGGAGGGGAGAGAAAGGTGGGTTACAGAAGCAATCTGACTTAGGCTTCAAATGTACTGAAACCACTGAGGTCTGTAAACATGGTTTGGTAATCATCTTTTATATCAGAGTTATGTTTAATGCTATTGCATGGGTGTTAAGTCCAGCAGTCATGAAATGACAGTGGCAAGACAAGAATTCAGTCGCCCACAAGCAGGTCCCTCAGTACAATCCATCAGGATTCTAGGCATTTTGTTTAATGTTGCAATAAAAACCACCACCCAAGTGATAATTTCCTATACTTATTGGTACCATATTTAAAAACCTATATTAATTCACAAATTCTAGTTCCATGTGGATTTGAAACATTTCCTAGTGCAGCCAAAACTTTTGAAGTGTGTTGCTTTCTACTCTTTTGAGTATTTCAGAGGCAGAAGTTACAAAAATATGGAGCTATCCTAATAATTTTTACAAAGAGCAACCTAAAAATCCACAAAGAGGTAAGAGAACATTGTTATGTCTTTGTAACTATGCCTTTCCACATTGCCATAAGAATACGACTTGTTAAAGAGTTGACATCTGAGCAAAACAATCTTTTCATGTGATCCTAAGTATGGCCTATAAATCAGTTGCATAAAATTTATATCCTTTTTATGCTGATAGAAACATTATATGTTCAGATTCCATACAGTAAACACACTGTGTTGGAGTGAAATTCATAGTTCCAGAACTATGAGGAAATTTTAAAACATGAATTCCGGCTGCTTTAGGCAGCTATTTTAGCATTTCATTGTCTTTTGACAATTCAATCTATACCTTAAAAATAATATGAACTTTGTGTTTGTTGTGTGAATCCTTGGACTGTATCTGCCTTTCAGCACTCCGTATAGCTAACAGTACTAGTTAGTGAAAGGGAGTGGAATCTTTGTTCTAAGAAGAGGAAAAAGAACTGGTAAGGGAGAGACCTTAAATCACAAATTGAGTCATGGCAGTCTCCATACATAGTATTTGCTGGCACCTTCCAATTTTGCTTTACAGAACTAATGCCTCCAAAGCAATGTAAAAAAAAAAGCACTAGTATATTCTTAAAAGACTATTTTTGGGCAATATTACTTATTGAAATGAAAATCTATCATGCTAACTGATCTTACTTTGTATAAATTCAGTCTTTCCTCGTGTTTCAGACCAAGGAGTTAGTGAATATAATTTAAGATTTGCAGCGAGTCTGAACAGCACATAAGCTAATGAGCCATACGAGAGAGAAACATTTCCTGTTCTTTTCTCCTCATAGAAGGGCAGCTCCTTGCAGTCCGGGAACCTTTTAGAAAAGTGTGTTTTGCTTCCAAAGAAGCAGGGGATAGGTTTAGTCAATGGGGTCTGTCCAGGAGGAAGGGCTTTACCCACAGAGGGAGATAAGTACTACTGGAGTATAAAATGTCCCCAGAATATGGTCCTCACTAAAGTTGGAATCCTATTGTTCCAAATATAAAGAGTCTTCAAACAAGTCTATGAAGGACATACAGAGTTTTAGATTTGGAACAAAACCTAAGAGATCTTCCAGGACAGCGACATCATTTTAAAGAAGAGGAAAAGAGGGCTTAAGAAAAGTTACTTATAACAGATGTTACTAGGGGCTGGGGATTTAGCTCAGCGGCATAAGCGCCTGCCTTGCAAGCAGGCAGTCATGAGTTCAATCCCTGGTACCGATAAAAAGGGAAAAAACCAAAAAAAAAAAAAAAAAAAAAAAAACCAAAAAAAACAAAAAAACAAAAACAGATGTTACTAAAGAAAACTATCTTTAAGGTTTCTTGTTAGCATCTTTTTGCTTTAATAACAGTTTTTAGTTTTCAATTTTGTCCTTTTGGAGCATGTCTATACATTAGAAAATGTTATAGATGTTCTCGCTATGACACAGCAATTTGCCTGAAGCCTAGGGGTTCAGAAACACATTACACAACATTTTCAAGTCAAATACCAGTGCATGCTAACAGTCAGCTTTGTGAACACAGAGGCTCATCAGCCCAATTCCAGGCCATTTCCAACCATCAGTGAAGAGGCAAGTTAGGAGGAATAAATTACCACAGAATCATACTGTATAAAAATACTGGCCTAGTGTGCACTAAAAAACTCTCAATAAATAAATATTGGACATTTGCCTTATGAAAGTCAGTCCGTGGTGATGTGCTCTTCGAAAACCATGTCTGTACTTTCAGGCTGCTTTTTACAAATCACACAAACAGTCCAACAAAGGACAAATGTTATATAGATTGGGCGATAGAATACAACTTGGTAGAAAAATGTCTTTTGATGAGGTGTTTCTATAAAGGAATACAACCACTGTTGAGTTGCTTGTTTCTGTTTCAAAGGCAACGGAAAGAGATCCAAACTGCTTTTAGCCACAGTAGCGTCGCTGAAATGAGTGCTCAGTTACTAATGTGACTCCTTTGAAAGTGGCAGCACTCCTTGGGACGCCTTAACTCTGGAATTTGTTGGCACAAGCCAGCTACAGTGAGCCTTGGGCGCGTAGCTAGGCAGCTGTCCATGGTGCTGAAGGAGAGACTGCTTCTCTGCTTCCAGTTTCTGTCTGGTGGCTCCAGAACTCTGATGCTGTGGGTACCAGGTATTACATGGTCTGGGCTTAATGATCTTGCATGCCCATTCCTCAGAACACAGGTTTATTCTCCGGATGATTTACAGCAGGCGACTCTGGTTTCCAGTCTGGTTGAAAAAAATGAATATTGAATGTCCGTGCCCAGTTCTTAAATACTCTCTTCTCCGTGATGAAGCGGTGGTGACTGCCCTTCCGCCCCCGCTCATGGGAGAGGTACATGGTGCACTCATCAGGTCCAAAAGGTTCATAGTAATGGTAGGGTACTGAAGGGTGATTAGGATCCCTGTAGGAAAAAAAAATGAGATAACCAATCAAAGCCAATTTTTTGTTGTTGACTAATTCAAGTAAGATGGTAACTTTTAATAAGCTGACAAGCACAAATCTTACTTTCTAGCCAAATGAATTTTAGTAAATTGTTTTTCTGGTGTTTATTCAGAAAGCAGGTGGTAAGGTTTTTTTTTTTTTTGTCTTTTTCATTTTTATCAGTACCGGGGATCGAACTCACAACCACCTGCTTGCAAGGCAGGTGCTTATGCCGCTGAGCTAAACCCCCAGCCCCTTGTGGTAAGGTTTTTTAAATGCAATGACTAACATTATTAAATAGACATAAAAATGTTCTTAGAATGTTCCGAGGTTTAGGTGCTACCCATTTGTAGTTATGGTTGTACTCTTTCTACTCGTGCTCACATATGAAGGATTTAGTACAAATAGCTAGATATTTATAAAACAAAACCAGGTTATTTCCACAGAACCATCTCAAAGCCTCTGCAGACTTCTAATTAAAGCCAGAGCCTACAGCCAAAGCCTGCAAGGTCTTTTCCTATGTTGCTCAGCCTTGTCCGTTCTGCCCCACTGTCAACTCCAAGCCCCTCCTGCCTCACGGCCTTTGCCTGTGAGGTTGACTACATCTCTAGAACACATCCTCTTAGTTTACTCTTTCTCACCATTGTCCATCAGCTCAAATAAGTACTTTTCACAGGCTTTACATGATACCTGCCCCCTGCATGCCACCTCATTTTCTTTATGGTGCTCAGCTCAGTTTGAACTGGCTTTGTTGTTTCCTTGTTTATTGTCTTCATGTGAGGGCAGGGATTTGTCTTATTCCTAGAACAGTGCCTGCAAGGGGCTCAGTCAATAGTGTTTGAGTGTCCATTGCTGAAAGAACTTTGTATGGAGTTAGTAGGGAACAGAAAGCTTCTAAAGACATTTTTCCCCCAAGCAGGGAAAGCTGCTGATCCTATTTTGATCCTCTGGGACAGAAAGGAAATCATCCAGTAAGATGTCACCATTTCCCTTTCATTGCTCTATACCTCCTGTGTACTCAATGTCTGGAGCTCCTTGGTCCAGAAATTCTAAATTCTCAGTCCCTACTGTGTAGCCTGAGAGTTCCAGCACTGTTTTGCCTTCATTTGCCCATCTCAGCCTCAAATAAGAAATGCTGGCTCATCTCTTCAAGGTGTTATGCGCAGAGCTAACATGGGGGGCTAAGGGGTGCCATTATAGGGTCACTAAAGAGAGCTAATCTCAAACTAGTCTCCATCCAGACCATCCATCCCATCTGTTTTCTGAAGTGTAGGTGATAAAGTCCAGGTTTCCCAGCAGATAAACTTTCCCACCTTGAGCTTCAGTCACCAACTGAGATCTCTGCAGACAATGAGGACGTGAAAAAACCACACAATCCAGCTTCTTTGAGAGCTCGGGGGTTCTGGGGTCCCTTCCAGTCAAGAGCTTAGTTTCCAGAGATACTCACCCTGCTAGCCACCTACTTGTTTTCTTCCAAGGAGATCAATACACAAATGGATTTTAGAGTTGCAGCTTTACAGGGGTCAGGGATCAAAGTCTTTTATCAAGAGAGGTGTCGAGTTTGTGGTTCTGACAGCAATAAACCTTTGGGCAGCTCCTTCTCTTGGGTTAAAGTTCTTCCAGAAGAGAGATTTACTTTCATCATGTAGCGTCTAAACATTTCTCAAGCTGGTGGCTGCTGCCTGAATTAACCTGTACAACCCTCATATGCCTGTGTCTGAAGGACATGTGGCCGAATGAAACTCTGGGTCCTGTCCTATCTAGTTGTGACAGATTTCACTGATTTGCTTACCCTAGAAATTGGAATGCCTTAAAACTTTAATAGAAGATGTTTTCAATACAGAAAATGTCTACCAGGGGGACAATTTAGGTTGGAACTGACCACTATGAAGGAAAAATAAACAAAATGGAGTAGAAACCTGTGAGGGAAATCTATGCACATTTATGTAGTGTAATTTGGAGAACCATGCCATACTGCCATGAACCCTCAGGGTTAAGCTTTTATTCCATCTCATGTTTTAAGTCTGACTCATCCAAGTTTTGGACATCTCATTGGCATCAATCTGGCTAAAGAAACAATTAGGCTTCTAAAAATATCGTGAGATTGATCTGGCACCCAGGAATCGAGGGTAATTGGAACCCAGCTAAAGGATGCTAGGAGATCAATTTTGTTGCTCAGAAGACAAGTTTCTCTGAAGGAAAACTTATCTGACTTCATATTGATCACATAGCAAGAGAATTAAATTCACATATTTGGGTATGTTGATTCCAGAGGTATCCAATGGGCCATCCATTGGAGGGAGAGTTCTTCCCGTGTTTTAACACTCTGTCCAAGCAGCAGAGAAGAGCTCTGTGTGACTTAGAAGGCAGAGCTGCCTCTGGGCTGTGAGCCTGCTCTCAGCTGGATTCCACCTCTCTTTAGAAAGCCCTTCCTGGCTTATGCTTCTAATCCATCAGGTCTTCTCAAACGTGACTTTCTGAAAGCTTCCATAGCTCCCTTTCCTTGCCTGACCCAAGTGAAATTCCACAAACTTTATACCTGTAGGAGCTTCTGAAAAAGGATAGATTTCGGTGCCCAAGTTCCTGTTTGGGCCACTGAAGCTGAAGGAGCAGACTGGGAGGAGATGGGCCCCAAGCCAGTCCCTGGGGCTGGCTGCAGCCGGCCATCTGTGCTGTGCAGCCCCTGTGGGGATGAGCCCTGCATAGTGGTATGAGGAAGTTTTCCTTTTTCATTGTAGGGGAAGCAGAAGGAGCATGAAGGAATTAACATCTAGTGTACATAGGGAGATTTAAGGAAATGCTATTGCTGGTGGGTGTGCTGTTCATAGACTCTGGTTTAAATTAGGTCTCAGACATAAGTGTGCTCTGCCACATCTTACCTCCCCCATCCATCCATTTTCTTTCTTTTCTTTTCTTTTCTTTTCTTTCTTTCTTTCTTTCTTTCTTTCTTTCTTTCTTTCTTTCTTTCTTTCTTTCTTCCTTCCTTCCTTCCTTCCTTCCTTCCTTCCTTCTTTCCTTTCTTTCTTTTTTTCCAGTACTGAAGATTGAACCCAAAGCCTCACACATGCTAAGCTAATGCTCTACCACTGAGCTCCAGCTCCAGCCTGTATTTTTTTAGTTTGAGACACAGTATTTCCAGGCTGCCTATGCAGGCTGTGAACTTTCAATCCTCCTCAGCCTCTGGAGTAAATGGATGACAGCCAGGCACCACCATGTGACCAGTGCAGTGGTTTCAAAAGTAGGTTGAGCATCAAAGTGAATCATGCAATACTGGATAATAAAACCCAGAAAATGAAATAAATGTCCCCAAGTCTATGATGGGTCTAAGGACCAATGGAGAAATAGTGGTAACTTCAGAATGGGTAAATCCATCAAACAACTCAGGTTAACAGAGCTTGAGCTAGTAGTTGACACTATGGCCAGACATGGTGGTGCATGCTTATAATCCCAGTCGCTTGGGAAGCTGAGGCAGGAGGATGGCCATGTGTTTGAGGCCAGCCTAGACTACATAGTAAGTTCAAGTCCAGTCTGAACTATATCATGAGATGCTGTCTCAAACAAACAAATAAAACCCCAACATGACACCACGTAACTCCTAACATCAAGTGTGGAAAATAATTTATCCCTTCTATGGAATCCTTCCTGGGAAAAAATGCATAGCTGCAATATATTCATGAGGAAAATATCAGACATACCCAAAGTACTTCTACAAAATACCCAATCAGTATCTTCAAGGAATGATTTGAAGAGACTAAAAAAATGTAAGTAAATGTAAGGGAATTCTGGAATAGATCTTGGAAGAGATAAAGGATGTTAACAAAGAAATTGCTAAAATTTAAATAAAGCCTCTAATGTAGTTGAGCAGATGCCATGTTAATTTGTTAGTTTTCATAATTGGACACAGCTACACAAAAAGCCAGCATTTGAGGAAACTCGCTAAATGGTATACAGACTCACTGTACTGCTTTCACAACTTGTGTATAATCTAAAATTACTTAAAACCAAAAAAATTGAAATAATATGATATATATATATATATATATATATATATATATATATATATATATATTTTAAATGGTGTTCCTTAGCAGGTTCTGAATGGCGGCCAGATTTCTAAAGGCTGAGGAAAGTTACAGGGTCTCCCTTCTTCCCTTCTGTCTCCAACAGCCTGCTGGGAGGCTTGGCTGCTCCTGTGGGAAGGGTGAGCATGGGCACCCAGGTAGACTCAGGGGTCTGGCTCTGTGCACACAGCCTCAGCCATGGGCCATTGTCTCAGCCCACAGAGCAGAGCCAGCACTCTATGCACCAACTTATTTAATCCTCATGATGCCTTTATAAGAGATGTACTATCATTAATCCTGTTTTACAGATGAAAAATTCATGGCCAGAAAAACTGAAGATTCAGAGCCAAGATTTGGATTCAAAGCTCTTAAGAGAGAGGTTCTGTGTCTTGGAGACCCAGGTGGGGGGTCTCTGTCTTAAGAACAGCCCAGGCTCTGCTGGGATGCACAGCACCTGTTTGGGGCATTTGTCCTGGCTGCATTCACCCCAAGTCCTTTGTACCCTATGTGTGCTGCTTGCTCTGTGCATCTGGCCAGGGTGTTAAGCAGTGACCAAAGGTTTGCTCACAGTTCTATTCACTAATATTAATGCACTAGAGATTTGCAATGTTACATTGTGAGTTTTGTAAAGCTGTACTGTACAACTGGGGAATACCTCATAGTAGTAACAAATAAAGGTAGATCCTTCCATTTCTAGGTTCTGATGAGATTCAGATGCTACCCTATGTGTGGCACCTTGGCAGGTGAGGAAATAACAGAGATTGGAAGTTCCTATTTCCCCTTGGCCATCTCTGAAGCAAGTCATAAAAGAATTCTTTACTTTCCAGTAAAGTAAATCATAAAATTTTCATTCCAGGAAAGGAAAATTCTTATCCAGAGACCCAGAGAAGTCAAGAAGAATCTAAACCAACAGACTTCG